GATGTCAGGTTTGCTTAAGGCCTCTGTGAGCGTGAGACAGCAAAACAGCAGGGGGTCCATTAAATGTTCACACAAATGCACTATGAACACTGCATCAGTCTCCACTGCCAAAAGCTCCCGCACAGTCCCAAAAAGACGCTTCTAATTCTAGTCAACCCTCAAGAAAATTCAAAGCTTTTATTTTTAATGACTCTTGCTTTCCTAAAATATAGCTGCTGATATTTTTGTAGGAGACACTTTACATAAATTTAGGAAGTCAAGTGAGGCCTACAGCGCGTGAGGATTATCCTGCCTACAGGATGACGCCTGCAGGCAGCTGACATAAGGGTTTTTCTACCTGTCAACAAGGTTGTTGTCCATATCGTTCCACCTCCGCTCGGGTTGCAACTTTACAAAAATGTTATACTCAATACTGATACTAACCATAATAGCTGATACTTCATGCCATTTTTAATACTCCCGCAACTTGGTTAGAAGGCCCAGGGTTCTGTCTTGGGCCTTCTTAATATTGTAATTAACAGATTAATTACAATATTAATATTTTACTTTCTTAACTAAGGTTAAACAAATAAGTAGGGGAGAAGCAGATCCCTCATTTAGGAGGATCTGCTTCACTTTTATGTTTGGTAAAACGATAAAAGGTAATTAGTATAACTGTTAACATCCTTTATGGAAATGTGCATCTTTTATTTAATTACTATATCTTTAGCACTGCGCGTTTCCCTTTGTCCATCAATTTGCTACTGAAGAAAAATAAATGTTACTACTGACATTTAATAACGCTCATTTTATAGTAAAATAAACTGCATCTAAACAAACATCTATCTGGCGCCTCAAAAACATAACTTGGGCAAATAAGAATAGGTCAGCTTATATTGATTTTGATGCAATAACTCACCTTGTTAGTGTCAACTTAATCAAAACAGTGATTATTTTTATAACTAACCTTGCAAACACAACTATCAAAATCAGAAACTGGCTGATATTCACTCTTAAATCATATGAAAGTAGTAACAAGTGGACTTTTTTTGGCTTTATCTCTATTTTTCAAACAATGACAATGTGGAGCCTGTTTTGTGAGGAGCCTAGAATAGACATCATATTCCTTGTTTCTGCCATTATATTATATTTGCTCTTAATTAGCAACATTCCCAAAGCCTTTCAATTTCCAATTCAAAATCTTAAACTTTGTAGGTGGTAACAAAACACACAAATCCAAACCACAGCAAAACAAAAGACAAAGCGAAGATGGTGGAAAACAGAACCTCCTTGATTAAGAGGTTTGACTGAGCCGTACAAATCCCTATATCTTTCAATTTATACTACCTGTAGCTGAGGTCAGCCAAAACCAAGCAATTTCTCTGACCCAGTGGAAAAGAGTCGGCTTTTCTCTGACTAGAAAGAAGCGAAATAATTAGTTCCTAAGTAAGACATTGGACGATTCACTTATTGTCCTTCTTCACAGACAGCTTTGCCTCGACTTTTTTTTCCCCCGTTGGCAGGATGTGCATTGTGTATAGAAGCGGAGTGGTAAGAAAACACGCCATTAGCTGCTGTAGCTACTGTGTCAGGTTTCAACCCAACACAATAACACCCAGTCCCTTTGTATCAGCGTGAAAAGGTCAGATCTGTCACTGGTCTCAAAGCAGTGTGGCCTGCAACACGCTCTTTCCCTGATCTGCAGTTTTGATTTTTGCCATCTTGAGGAAATAAAGGTTGGGTCCCACTCACCGCCAAATAAGGAATGTGACTGGAAGATGTCGACTGCAGCTGAGACGCTTGATTACTCAGTGAATGAAGAGAGCAGGAGGTACAAAACTGCCTCATTGTGAGTTCACAACCTCTTGACAAACAAGTGTCTCTCTGATGATTGAGATTCACTGGCGGTTTCCAATAACAAAGTACTTATGGGGTCATTTGTAGCTGTTTTGCATAGAAAGCTGACCATTGGCTTTCCTCATGTCAGCATCAAGAACTGCTACAATTAAGTAATTGTGTTTATATGCATTCACCAGACAGTTTATTAGGTGTTAGGTTTATTGCGAGTAACAGGTTAGAAGCATTTTCCCCTCAGAATTGCCTCAATTCTTTATGGAATAGATGCAACAACATATCTGACATTCTTCAAAGATTTTGGTCCTTGGTGAGACTGAATTATAGTCCATTAGCTTTGGAGACCTTTCGATCAGTCAACTGAACGTTGCCATGCAAAGCAAACTATTTCAAGGTTATTGGAGGTTTACCTATGAATCTGACTACTTACAGTGATCACAAGGGGATAAACGTGGTTGGTGATAAAACTCAAGCTAAACCATGGCATTTAAATGGTAATAAGACGGAACTAAGGGACAGATATTGGGCCAAAATATCCCCCCCACACTATGACACCACCAGCAGCCAATACTTGGGATAATTAATTCTTTTTTCCAGACGTAATTGACTGATTTGCTATGCGAGTTAACAAGAAATCAAACAGGTGAACAAAGTAGCCAGTGGGTGTTTTTTAAGAGACGTAGAGTTAAAGAACCAAACTTATTGTAGCTTGTAAACAACATTGTGTGCAAACTTTGTAGTCTGAAGAATAAACCTAATCCTCAAAGCACTTTTATGCTTCACAACCATGGACCGAAAACAATGTTTTATTCTCAACAAGACTTCTTATTTTTAATGAGTGCTGATTTTCATAAGATATATATAAATATATATATAATTTTTTTTCTTTTGTCATTGTGTGTGTCTAGAACATAACGATGGAGTGGTGCCCTCAGCAATAAATGGATAAATAAATGCAGTCTCAATCAGTCCTTACGGTGCAGCACATGGATGTGAGCGTGTCTCCAGGGGGGCAGAGAGGAGATGACTACAAGGAAATAGTTGGTCTGAACTTGTCCAGAGTTAAAGAATTAAATAGTTCAAAACATCTACAACCATGATCAATCAGGCTGGTCAAGGATGCACGTTTAGGTTCCCAGCAGATAGTTGGGAGGATTGTAAAGAACATAAAGAAAAATCTTCAGAAATTTCCAAATTCAGTGCTAGAGAACTTGGGTCATTGCTTCAGTGAGAGATACTGCAGTACAAACAACTTTCAGCTTTTTACATGTTTCTTTTTTTTTCAACTACCTATCTGTAAATGTGTAGGACATGATGTGCATACATGTTTAGAATTTAAAAGATTTAAATTTTACTTTACATAGTTTTAAATGAATTTTTGTGCCAGTTTGTTTTAATTGAAAAATTTAAATACATTTCCTCTTGTGCCTTTGAGCACAAGAGGAAATGTATTTTTTCTTAAAACTCTTACAGGATAGCATATTCTACGTTTCAATGAGTCCAATCAAAAAATGACACTGTTAAGGTTTGTTTTTGTTTATTTAAAACACAAATAGGAGTGATGGAGCATATCAATGATTTTTTTCATTACATTCTTCCAAGACCAAATGTTAAACCTCCTAGCAATAGCTGTAGAAATAAAATCATTTTATTTTTGCTCCACGTTTTTTTTAATAGTTTGTTTTTATTACAAGATGGGGTGCGGGAGTTTTTTCTTATGATACATGAAGCAGCACAGAGATAAGCCTGACATATGGTGAAATCTAATCTGATCCCCAATGTTCCCTTTTTTTTTTGTTTTTGTCTATGGAAATGACTAGCTACTTATCGTCAGACTCAGTTATTTGTGCAGATTCTCGCCGTGGCTTAGTGAAGGGACTCAATCACTGCTGCCCAGCGATAGGCCTCACTTTCGCCTTGTTCCAGTCTCATCTTTTTATCTGAAGGAGCGGAAATGAAAGGATGGTATCTGTCCGGGAGATGGAGAGAAACATGCAGCGGTTTTATCAGGCTTTGTCTGTTGGGTGTGTGTGTGTGTGTGTGTGTGTGTGTGTGTGGGTGTGTGTGTATATATATATATATATATATATATATATATATATATATATATATATATATATATATATATATATATATATATATATATTTGTATATATAAACATTGTTTAATTTTGCGTTCAGAAAGAAATGCTAGCGCTTTAGGAAGTGAGAGCAGATTAAACAAAGCGAAGTAAAATACGGTAATTCATCTTGTGACATCTACAGGAGTAATGAAGCTTTTAAACATTTGATGCAAACAGGAAGGAGTTTAAGAGTTGTGTTGCACAAACAAACCCTCGTTTCTGAGTCACTGAATTTCAACAGTGAATTCTCTAAAACAACACTTGTATGTTTGCTGTGCACATTTACAGCTTTTCTCGTGCTGTTTTAATTGAATTTTTAAATAACATCAAGTCAACATATGATCCCTGTGAAGAATAACTCATGCATTCATAAAGCTACACTGAAATACTAAGCCTATGTAAACTCTAGGATCAGTGGAAAGTTACAGCAATTGTACTTCACTAATATTTTCATTTAACGGCTTGATGTTCTTGTTTTAGACTGGAGCCCGTTGAAATTTGACGACAAATATAGTTTTTTTCCCTGAATATTTTAAGCTGTTAACCTCAGAGGGCTGTCAGTTACTTAAAAAGGATTAAAGTACCTTTTTTTTCTATCAGCTTCTCTTTTATGACGATTGTGCTGCTGCAGTTTACAAAGACACGTACAGAGCAATCAGCAATGTCTTTAACATTGGCTACTTTAATTATTTGAAAAGAAATCCTGATGGCAGTACCTGACATTTTGTAAAGTCATCAGTTGTTACAAACTCATTTAAAAAGCTTCAGTAAAAACTGGGAATATTCTTTATTCTCCATTGAGTAAAGGTGAATATTTTTTATTGTGCTTTTCTACTCAAGTAGAAAAGCACAGTTAATGTGGACCAGTAACAAATTAATAAATCTGAATGAAATTAAAATTTTTGAGCATTTACAAATTGTCATAATGTTCAATAAAATTGCAAGAGAGCTACACATTTGTATAATCCAACAGAGAACCATCCAAATGAAAACAATAAAAATAGGAAAACAATGAAAGATCGGGAGAAAAGTTTCTGATCTTACCTTATAGCCATCGCCTCGTATTAAGACATCCCAGAGGGTGTTTTGAAACTTGCTCAGATCCATTTGGTGCCCTCCACCCAGCAAAGTCTAGTTGTAAAAGTACAAAAATTTGTATAAATCAATAAAAACTGTTAAATCATGTCAATACAACCACTGATAGAAACAAATCTCTTTAATCTCACCTACTGCAGAGATTTGCAGTCAGTGTATTTGGTTTAAAGTCAGTGCCCAGCAAAACTATTCATTCTTCATGAATTTTCTCAGAATTTCTATCTTTACATACACAAATTTAAATGCAATATATTGTGATTTTTGGGGTACGGCTCAAATCAAAATGTGGCATAGTTGTGTAGAAGAAGAAAGCAATTGAATTGTAATGTTAAATGGTGTGATTGCCCTTGTTATTTGTTGAATATGCGTGACATATTTGTTAATTGACTTATTAAACAGACACCTATTTAGTAAATCAAAAAACAAATGACAAATATGTTTCAATCAAGCTGTGATATTGTAAACTAATGATAAACAACGCCATGTAAATACAAATCTGTTTAAAAATGTAAATGTAAGTGTTATTGCTGCTTTTTTTCTTTGGAAAATAGAAAAGGAGAAACAAGTCTGGAAAACCAAACAATTTCAAACCCTCAGTTTTCTGTTTTCCATACCTATACAGACCTAATACAAAACACAAAGGGACATTCCAAGCTTACCAAGAGACAACTTGGAAAACCTCATAGTAGCAGGACTTTGACTGGGCCTTAATGTATGCCTAATCTTCCATCTAAACCATTTAATATTCAGGGTCCTAGTACAGACATTAATATAGTAAGGTATTATGTGCAGACTACCTGCAAAGGCCTGAGTTTATTAAAAAAAAAAAACCATACATTGCATAACTGATAAACTCTCCAGTTAATATCAATTCTGCTCAACCTGCTCAAATGTCCTTCTCTTTAAACATACGTTTAGAGCTCCACGGTGAACTTTAAGCTTATAGAAAGCAAACAATTAATCAAGAAGAGTGTTTCTGCAGTAATAGTCAGCATCTTTTAATTCACCAGAGGACATGCATATCCTTCTTCCCTTCTCGACACAAACGGTTTTCCGCAGGGAGAAAAGAACTGACAAGCAAATTAATCTGCAGCCTTTAGCCAGCTGAAATAGAAGTCTGTCAGGCAGTGTGTATCAGTTGATGCCCATCAGTGTCAGGAAGGTGTGGAGAGACATAAATAACAGAGAAGCAAAAATGTAAGAAAATGTAACACTGCTGCACACTGAGGGGGAAAGGATGGCAGCAGTTGGGTGGAAACCGAAACAGTTTTCAGAGTTTATTCATTGGACACAGTGACACCTGGAAGTCAGTCTGGGAGTCATACATCACAGCAGGCACTGACCTTTAGATACTACGCACAATTAGGCTAAGCTAATAAACACAACTGTGGATTTGAACATGTAGACTCGAAGGCAGGTCCACTGAATCATCACAAACTTAAATGGCATCAAGTTCCTGTGTGCCTCTCAGTCAAAGACAAACTGAAATTGGACGGATGTTAGTTTTTATGTTTTATAATATTAAAACAGGAACAAGGTTTTAAGTACATTGTTCCTGTTCTTAAAGCAGTCAAATGCTTTGAGATGGGGCACTTGAAGAAAAACTGGCAGCAGCAGTCACAAAAGCTTTTATTACTCTAATACTACAATCCAGTTTAGAATACACCAAACACAAAGATTATGGCAACAATCATAAATTAAACATGTTCTTAAGAGGCAACACAGCCTCTGGTGAAAAACACACTATCTGTAAGATCTAAACATGCCTCATTACAATAGAATGCAAACGGTTACTAATGTTAAAATGGTAAATAAAAGGTAAGGGCTAGACTATGTGAAACAGTCTACTTTCAACTATAATGATTTAGAAGAAGCAACCAAAGCTGATTAAATCTCTTCAAACGATCACAAAAATTGATTGAAAGAAAGTGTTTTGCAATTGGTAGCAAGAAGGTCCTGGGTCCGATTCCCGGCCCGGGGTCTTTCTGCTCGGAGTTTGCATGTTCTCCCTGTGCATGTGTGGGTTCTCTCCGGGTACTCTGAAAAACTTGAGAGCACAATTGTTCCCGATAACTTACATATTGGGTAGGTAAAACATAGATGGAGCTGTAGATATGATGGAGGTTTCTACTTCCTAAATGCAGAATACAACAGTAAAAAAAAAAAAGAAACTTTGTTCTTGCTGCTGTAAATGAGATACATTTTTACTAACTTTAATATTAACGCCTGAAACCCTAAAAAACAAAACAATGTGCTTTTACAGAGATTTTGAAACTTGTTTTAAATACATTGGACATGTTTTTACATTCTTATCCATCATTGTTGTTCAGGGTATCCTTTCTATCACATGTCTATTACATTTAAATTTCTATGTTTGCTGTTTTGAAATTGATGTGCCAAGCTGCTTTCTGGCTGCAGAACAAATTTACGTGAATATAAATGAAACAACCTTAACCTTAGGCAATAGGTGGAGAGATATCAACAGGAAATTAGATTTGGGACTAAATGTGTTTTTCTCAAGTAGAAGAAACACAAAAACTCCATTTACTTTGATTTGTTCTAATGTGCTACCGTTAACATTACTTTTAATAAATCTCACCATTCAATGATTTGATTAATCTCATTTGCTTGACAGTTTTTTTTTCTTGGCATCAGGCCAATCTTCCAATCTTCTTTTAGACCTTAACTAAAATGTTCATAATGCTTATTTAGTAGTTTTTTGTTTTTTTTAAATAAATTTTTTTTTGCTCAGTTTGTTGGGTTCCAATCAAAAATATCTGACAATATTTAGAGCAGGATGGCGATAATGTTCACAAAAATGAGTTCAAAATTGAAAAGAAGATATTGATTGTGACTAAAGCAGTGCTAAATAATTATTGTTCAATTATTGAAAAAAAATAATAATAATTACCAGACACTGTTTGAAGGGCTCTTGCAGGTTTGCCTTGAATTTGAGACCTTTTAAAGACTTTTTTTAAGAAAGAAAACTTATTTTTATCAATTTAATTATCAAAAATCGTTCATGTTTCTTAAATAAAAATGATTAAATTATCACAGTATTAACACAGACAATCAAAACAGCCAACTTTCCAACACAGCACTAATATATGTCTACATAAAACTTCACCCTTGATATGTCTGAGCTCATCCTCTTTAGCACTGATCTCAAGTTCAAGTTCAAGGGTTTGGAGTTTGGTTTTTCTTTTTACAAAGAGACAGAGAGTAAACTGGGCCTTAGATGACTCGGGGAAAAAATGAGGGCATCAATTTAGAGACTAGAAGATGACAAGAAGGCACTAGAGTGAATGTGGCTTTTACTTTCCCACTTTTCTCTCCTCTTAACCTCTCTTCAATCCTCTTTTAAACAATTTGCTCCAGCAGTTCACCCTTCCTGTTTTTTTTCTCTTCTTCTTCAAAATAACACAAAAAATTTGATGTTGATTGAGTGTTTATTCAGACTTTTAGAAATGGCTACAGCACCTATTCCACCTTCTTTTGTATTCAATATATTTTTTACAGTGACAGTCTGCAAAATGTATTTCGTCTAATTGTCAGGACTTGCCTAACACCCTTAGCTCTAAAAAAAAATATTTGACAAGAGTAAATTTCAAGAATTTTTATCCTATCTTGCTCACACATGTTAGCATCCTTTGAAGTTATAGCGTGGCGAACTACAGTAATCATTGTTTTCTCTTATATTCCCCTATTAAAATACAAATACAACAAAACCAGTAAACAAACTATACTGAATAAATTTCACTGCCTAAAATAAATGCTTGTAATGACTCACCTTGATCTATCAACTGCATCCCTGGTGCAGTTTGAATAGATGTAACTCAACGTGTGAAAACGGTTCTGACGAATAAGCTCGACACTTTATAGTGTCAAACTAACACTGAAGCAGATAAAATATTATGCAGAAATATTACAGGAGACGAAAGATCAAATAACATGGTTACTTATTGAGAGAGATGTTATTTGATAGATCCAGATACTTCCAGAGGCACAGCTGCACAAATATCACTTATATCTACCTGGCATGAGAATGTTGGATTTCCAGTCTGTTATGAAATGTATCACCTTGCAAATATGTGGAAACAGCACAAACAAAGAGATGAGACATCTATTACCATGAGCCCACACAAGTGAAAATATTATGTCTCCCACACAGTATTGGTAGAAGAGCACAGACTGCAGAGGAGAAGCAGACTTACTCTAATTCCCCTGTCTCAGGAATTAAAGCCAGTCTGAAAGTCCCTTATGCTGTGTTCTTTTTAATCACCAAAAAGGGGTTCACACTGTCAGAGGTTTTGGCACTAGTTGGTGAAATCTATTTTTGAGAAACAATCTGAAAAAATAGTACCGTAGTTGTTTAGTGTGAAAAGCTCACCAACAGCCAATGTAGACTACAGCAGGTGAACTACAGCAGACTTTAAGGAGAAGTAAAGGATTTCTGGAAAGATTGGGTGTTTGCTGCTGTGCTGACTGCTGCTTTTAATTGTCTGTCTTTCTGTCAACACTGTCTATTGTTCCTCCTCTCTCTACTGTATGGTCTGAAAAGGATTCTTAACTTCAACTGCTCTTAGTTTTTGATTATTTCAACATGCAGCTTTTTTGGCACAGAGGAACAATGATTGAGACAGACATTTGAGGTTTCTTTCCAAAATGACCAGAACATCAGTAAGTGCAGAGAAACCAAAACGGAAGAAAACAAACAAAAGAAACAACAACCGTTCACAAAATGTCCTTTTTTTGTTTTTTCCATATTCAGATACTTGGTGAAAGCATTACTGATTATGCCAGCAAAGGTAGTAAAATGAAACCAGTTTGTTAGTATTTTTCCAATTCCAGAATTCCTCAGAAACAAACCAAACAATAGGCCTTTTGGCACCGAAGGACCCGGCTAGTGATGGCCCTGATTGTGTTTGCACTGAGTCTCCAACGTGGGAGAGGATCATCACATCAAAAACGTGCAAATCTGTATGTAGCTTCTCTTATTTTCCGACATAACAATGGACAATATCGAGACTGTGTTA